GGGAAAGAAAAAATATTTTGTTGTTGTTGTTGTTTAAAATTTTGTTCTCATCTTTTCAATTAAGGAATAAAGCTTTCCTTTATTTTTGCTCCTGCAAAAAAAGAGGCTTGAGCTTCTCTGTTTGATCTCTCAGTGTTTCAGTTTTCTTTTTATAATAAATGCTGCAATAACAATTGTAGGTTTGTGGCAAATCTTCCCCCTGATTTCCTTTTTTTTTTTTTTTTACTATGCAATCAATATACAACCCAGCCTCCACTCCACACATTCACATACAGTACAACACTATCACCATGTGCCCATGTCATATTTATGAATTAGCATTTAGCAGCAGTGCTGCTATCAGTTGCTACTGAAAGAAGATCCAGAACCTATTTAGAAATTGAATAATTATTTTAACAATGTATTTTGCCTAGTTGCCAGACTCTGCTTTATTAAAACCATTCACTACCTCTGACAAGATAGCAAAAAGCTTCTGAGTTCATTTTCAGGACAAAATGATTCACAAACAAAATAGTGACAGGCTTTTATGATTACAGATTTCAGATATTCTGTTCCTTCAAAAGAGCTTACATAGATTGAAAGATCTACAAAGAAAGAAATGAAAAAATGAATATAAGAGATATAGACTTTTTCATTAGGGTCAATGATAGAAGGTATTAACCCCACTCTAGCAGTGTGCCTTTTACATGTCTGCTTCTTCATTCCTCTTGACCTGCTCTCATCTTCCTTCCAAGTAAAAGTTAACTACAGTTTGAAATGTAGGTAAGGTGAGCAATAGCTGGAAATAAATGTTTCCTCAAGCATTATTACTATTCAGAAAATTGTCCATCAGCTGAAATGTCAGGCTCAAAATCTGTTTAAGCACTGCACAGAGGCTAAACAGGCAGCTATTATTAAGTGTACCTGACGGGTTTCAGCAAGAACTGGGGTTAGCTTGATGCACTGAATATTGAGGAGTATATTTCATTAGGGAGTCTTTGTCTCTCAGATGGTTGAAGATTTATTCTGTGCAAACTACTGCAAAAATATTATAGACTAGCTGCACCTACATAAGAGAAGAGACAGCTGATTCTTGTTAAAATGCATAAAATTGCTATTTTATTGCAATTTCTTGGACTTCTATACTAGTGTAATCACTGTCGACTTTTAATCTGACTATTTTGAAGCACCACTGCACTTGTCTCTTAAATAAATTTTTATTCATTATGTTGCAAGTTGACAACATGAAATTTTCTAGAATAAGTTCTGTTCTTCTTTACCTAACCAAACCATTTTCCCATTGTGCTTCACAGAGGTTTCTTAATTTAAAACATATCTGTGAAATTCCTATACATGAGTTAGCATTTGTCTTCAAAATATTTTTGTAAAAGCAGAGAGAACTCTAAAATATAAGTGGGCATTAAGAAACAAATTAGCACAAAGTGAGATACTAAAGCACTATATAGTTGCTGTTAATCAAATTCAGCATCTTAAAAGGATGCTGAATTAAAGGGGGAAAAAAAAAAAGAAGCAACAAACTAGAAATTATTTCCCTCCATTTGGTTTCAAAATCTCCCAGCTGTATCTATTCTGTTTCTTGATTCTGTTTATTTGCTCCACTTCCAGCACAACTCTCTCACCCCCTGCCTGAGTTTATCCTCTGCTAACTAAAAAAAATCTATTCACACAAGAATCTAGAAGTTTATATCTGAAGGTACAAGCAAGAATGGGAAACTTGCCCATTCCTAATGAAGGACATACAGCTGAATTGCACTTTAATTTCCAAGATGACTAAGATGATTTTCACTTGTACTTTACAAAACATCAAATTGCCAAACTGCCAAATGGCAGTTCTGGATGACAAGCTGAAATTAAACCCAAATAACCTGGTTTCTTTGTCCACAACAGGCACTGGGTTGGTTTTCCATAGTGAATCACTTTAGCATTTAATGTGTTCTACTGGTTGATACATATGTCAACTGTTTTCTGTTCTCAGTTATTTGAATTTTCATTGGTATCATATGGCATGAGACTCTCAAAAGACAGTAAGGTGGGCTCGCAGTCATAGGAACGTGGATCAGGCCTTGAGTGTCAAAGACAGACCCTGCTCCAACTCTTCTGAAGCAGACACATTTTCCAAGCAAACAAGGATGTTCACTTGACAATAACCCTCTTGTGAGGACAGAATATAAAACACATATACTCTGGAGCATTTTCCGAGAACGTTTTATTCTTTGGTGGGAGTTCTATTTTTCTTTCACCTATGTATATAATACAGATGTGTGAAGTATGCTTTAAAGGACTAAATATAACTATCAATAATGCAAGATTCTTGTGTAAAAAGTAAATAGAGTCTGTCTATCTGTGTTTCCACGTGGGTGTGCAGGTACATTCACTATTACCCTTTTAAAGGCACTGCAGTTTGTGACTTTCTTTTCAGTTTCTCCCAGTCATTTAATGAAGTCTGCCTGTTCCAGGAATTTTGTTAGCAGTTGTCTCAAACAAACTTTCCATATATCCATATGAAGCCCCAGCGACCATCATGACCCACCACAGACATACGGAAAGGACAGTTGTCTCTGGGTTTCACTGACCAAAGACTGTTAATACATTCTGAATTATACAGTTGTCTTACTGCCACGATATCCTCTGCTGTTACCATCTGTTACCAGCTCCTGACTACCTGGCAATTACCAGCTCTCCAAAGAAACTTTGCCTGGGCTTTTCTTCCTCTTCAAGTCCTGCATTTCATAGAATCACAGATTTGTTCTGGTTGGAAAAGACCTTTGAAATCACTGAGTCCAACCATTTCATGCCGCACCTCGAAGTATTAGTATTTCTCCTTTACAGCACCAGACTTTGTTCAGGCTCCTTGCGCCTGGCCACAGTACATTATGTGCACAACATGCTTATGACTCCTTCCCACTCAGTTTTATCTGAGAATCTCTTTGGTATATTTTCTTTCTATTAGAACCTAAATGACAGCATTAAAATAGATTTGACATTAATGTCTGTTACCTTATGATGGAAAACAGAACATTGTACCATCTGTAGCAATGGAAAAGTATTTTGTTTATGTCCTTCACACTGTTTTCAATCAAAAAGTCTGTTTTTCTATCACAGCCATGAATTACTTGAATTATGTTTTCAATAAGATTTTCCAGATATTATCAACTGCTTTCCTACAAACTGAATTAATGTTTCTGCTGTATTCATTTCATCCACTAGCGCTATTCTGTGAAAAAATAAAACTATGTTAAGATTTATGAATAAAAGTTTATGACTACATATTTGGTTGTGTATTATTTAGCCTATAGCCATGAAATGGTATTGGCATTAGTTCCTTTTTTTTTCTTTACTTTTCCTAGAAGTAGATATTTTACTACTTAATTCCTCATATATGAGAGGATGTAACTGACATGATCACACCTTCTCCTTTTTTTTGTATTCACTCCTCTTTGCTCATCCAATATCATCCCAGTGTCACTATCGCTTTTACCAATTCCTTTGCTAGTCATGTGGGTATAGTGAGTTTGTTAGGCAATTCTCACAATCTCTTTTCACACAACATCCTACCAGAAAGTTCAACATATTCAGATTTTTCCAATGCTCATTTAATAACTTTCAAGAAATACTTTTTCAAAGGGGTTCATACTTTCAAACTTTTTCAACAGTGCAGGTATGTATACTAGGGTTTCTTGATAATGACAGGTTAAGAACATGGGATCAGCATTTCATATGAAAGATTTAGTTACTTGTAAGTGCTGAACAGATCTATCGAATTATTGATGAGAGTGATGCTGTACACTCTAAATGGCTTGACTTGTTATATCCTTTACCTTTACTGCTGATAAAACTTCAATTTTGAAAAATAGATGAAAACTCTCCAGGAGCTCAAATTTCAATGTACATATGTAAAAACTTATGTATCTGCAGCACAGATGACAGGCTTTTCAGCAGTAAAACTGGCTCATGCAAGTGGTTCACAGGTGCCATGAACTAAGCACAATTCTGACATCTAAATAAGGTGGTAATACCTAAATAACTATATTTTTGAGCAATATTGATTATATACATGAATGCCAGATCCTATTATTTGTCAGATTTTTTTCTTCACCTTGGTAGTTAACGCAAGACTAAGTCTCACCCCAGGTACCGTGGCTCCAGAGATGGAGAGGTGTGTATCAGTACTTACAGCTGTCCTCTTCCTCCATGAAAATACTGATCACGTAACAGGCATACACAAATCCAATCAGCTGCATGAAAGAGGAGGAAAAGCAATAATTAGAACACATTGAACACTTACAAAGCTTTTAGTACAGTGCTATAAAAACACAGGTACTGCAGCTACACTTCGACCTTGGTGTTCAGCTATTTACTTACTTTCCTTTGTTTGTTCAGTACCTCCAGTCTCACATTACTCTGTCCACATGAACATAGCACCCGCTGAGCATGCTATTGCATATTAAAAAGATAAAATATTGATTGACTGCTACAGAATTAAGTCATAGTACAGTTTGTATGGGATCCACAAGAGATGTCTTTTTGTGTTGCATAAAGTGTCCCAGTGAAGAAATGCTTGGGGTTATGATTTATCAGCATCAGGAAACACTTTATCAGAAGGTCCTACCAGTAAATCACTTCAAGTATGCAAGAAATGAGCAGACTCATTTCCCCAAAGGACACCAGCAAAATAATGTCATTATTTTAACAGCAGTTTCCACAATATCCTTCTCAACCCAGATCTGTGTCACTTGTGCCACCGAGAGGAAGGAATTAAGATTTTTAGGAGCAGGGAATAGAAACTCCTCTCATTTCCTTTTCATATAGAGAAAATGCTTTCTTACAGCCACCACCAAAGCAGACAAAAATCCCACTGGGCAAGGAAATCTATTAAACTGCACCGTCCAGACATGTCCATGCTTGAGAATATATTGTTTGTGCAGCTGTCCAGAATTTTTGCTATCTAAAAGCCTTGAAAAGACTGTTCATGTGAGATTTCTACAATAACCCAGAGATTAGTTTTTAAAAAACCCTCCTTTTCCCCTGGTCCATTCAAAAAATCTAATTAAAATAGTTCTTCTAAGGGTGTCACGGATCAACTATCTGAGAAAGACGTAATTTAACAGTATCTAGACAGGTATAAGCTCTTTTAGGGGTACAGAAATAATTCCAACCTGCTTTTTCATTGGGTTGCATGAGGAGCTTCACAAGCAGCTCCAAAATCCTCTCTGCAGACAAAAAACTTGTCCACACCAGGGAATTCAGGGAAGTTAAGATGAATTAACTAAAGCTGTGAAATCAATGCACGTAAGATAATGTACATTAAATCCCTGTGTGGCCTTTCCCATTCAGAAATAAAGTGGCTTTAGTTCACTGTAGCTTAATCCTCCTCCAAAGGATTAATCTTCCCCATGGAGACTTAAGCTGCAGTGCACTGAAGCTGAGTTACCTGTGAATGACTGCTGTATAGTCCTATTGCAGCTTCCTCTTCAGGACATCCACCTCAACAGGTGGGAAAGTGAGCTTAATCCAACTCACCTGGACCATTCTCTTGTGCCTGAGGTAAGGGTGAAGCCTGCCTGAAAGAGCTTCACTTTCACAAGCCATGGTACTCATGGGGGACTTCAACCACCCTGATAGCTGTTAGAGGGACAACTCTGCAAAACACAGACAATCCAGGACGCTCCTAGAGTCTATTGATGACAACTTTCTTTCTGGGTAATTGAGAAACCAACAAGGAGATGTGCTATGCTGGACCTTGTTCTCACCAACAAGGAAGGGCTGGTGAGGGACATTAAGCTTAAGGGCAGCCTTGGTTGTAGTGACCATGAAATGGTGGAGTTGAAGATCCTTACGGCAGCAAGGAGGGCTCACAGCAAGCTTACTACTCTTGACTTCAGAAGGGCAGATTTCAGCCTTTTCAGGGATCTGCTTGAGAGAGTCTCATGGGCTAACATCCTGGAGGGTAGAGGGGCCCATGAAAGCTGGCTGATATTTAAGGATCACCTTCTCCAGGTCCAAGAGCATTGCATCCCAACTAAGAGGAAGTCAAGTGAAAACTTCCAGAGGCTGCATGGATGAGCAAGCAGCTCCTAGAAAAGCTCAAATTTAAGAAGGAAGCACACAGGGAGTGGAAGTTAGGGCAGCTATCCTGGGAGGATTACAGAGAGGTTGTCCGAGCACCTAGGGATCAGGTTAGGAAACCCAAATCCCAGATGGAATTAAATCTTGCCTGGGATATAAAGAGTAATATGAAAGGTTCTGTAAGTATGTTGGGAATAAAAGGACAACTAAGGATAACGTAGGCCCTCTCCTGAAGGAAAAAGGAGACCTAGCTATGCAGGATATTGAGAAGGCTGAGGTTCTCAATGACTTCTTTGCATCAGTCTTCTTTGGCAAGTGTGCCAGCTGCATCAGAAAAGCCACAGCAGGTGAAAACAGGGAGTGGGAGAATGAAGCATACCCCACTGTAGGAGAAGAACAGGTTTGTGACCATCTAAAGAACATGAAGGTGCACAACTCTGTGGGACCTGATGAGGTCCATCCATGGGTCCTGAGGAAGCTGGTGGATGCAGTTGCTAAGCGTCTGTCCATCATATTTGAGAGGTCATGGCAATCTGGTGGGATGCAGGTGGGCCTTAGTTTTGCTCATGGCATCCCTGCGTTCTTTGACTACATTCCTATATTCCTCCCAAGGGGACAGTCCTGTTTTCCACATGCTATAAATTTATTTATTCTGTTTAAAATTTTCCAGAAGACCCTTACTCATCCATGCAGGTCTCCTACCTCCTCTGCTTGTTTTCTTCCTCATAGAGATGCACCAGTCTTGAGCTTGGAGGAAGTAGTGTTTGAAAATTGCCCAGATCTCATAGACATCCATACCTTCCAGGGCCCTGACTCATGGTACTCCACTGAGTAGATCTTTGAAGACGCTATCTTATCTTTGAAGTAAATATTTTCCCACTCTCTTCAGTGATTGAAACACACTTTTCTAATCCATGATCTTCTTGCAAAATCAGCAGCCTCTCTCTGTTTATCAATATTTCTTTACATTTCTTAGCATTAGTAGTTAAATATTGCTTAGATAGAAATCACTGCCACCTATTGTTTTTATGGTATATACTTTTAAAACATACACAGTTTCCCCCCATCTAATGATTAATACCAGGAGAATTAAAAAAATATATGCACCCTCTCTCAATTTCATGGGTTTTTTTTGGGGAAAAGAAAGAACAGGTCTCTCATTGTGCCAGGAGGCATCATAACCCACCTTATCCCAATAATATATTCCAGTAATTAAAAGGTAGAATACAGATTACTTAAAGAATAAAGTAACAAAGAAGAAAAAGAGCCCTTTAGCATCAATTGTCAGGTATTGCTGTTTACAGGTGACCAGCCATGCTTGTCTTGTAACTAACATATTAGTAATTACAGTTGGATAACTGATATCTCAAGGACAATAAACATGAAGTGATGAAGTGGGAACGTACCCTTCTACAGATGAGATCTGTTTCCAGATCCTAAAATGGAGTTACAGCCACCACAGTGTGAATATTTTTATAAATTAATTAATTAAAAACCTCTTCTTTGGGACACACTGATAAAATATTTATTCCAGCAAATTACTTTTGCTATCTTGATTAACCTAGCTGCTGCTTAATTAATAATGTTATGCTCATGTGAATCTACCCAGCCATCATGTTAATGGCCAATTTGCAATTAGCTGACTGATGTGTACTGCCTGGTTTCTTGATATTGGAAATGTTGCCTACTGGCCTGGCACCAACTGATAAACTTAAATGTGTGTTGCTTGACAACTAAAGAAAGTATGATGCAAATGAGCTGGAAGATACTTAATTTGCTCCTCTTGGGTTTTGATAATCAAAGGGACCAATGAAGTAGTTGGAACAGGATGTCCAAAACATCAAAGGTCACTAACACCTGAAAGTATGAATGGGAACCTCTGGCTTGATGCAGAGAGCAATGTAGAAGTCTAGGTGAGCTTGCTTTGACAATGTTGAGTTCAAGGCATGGAAACCTTCTGGGATTCATGCCCTACGCAGGGGGCTGCCTGTCTTGCCTGCAGAGCCCAGTCTAGTAAACTATCTCAGAAGATACTTATCAGTGCTATTCTGCAGAAAATCAAGTGGGAAACTGAGGGACAACACTATTGTCCCCTGCTTTCTTCCAGCTACATAGTGGCTAGGGTATACATCTTGCTCTGGAGACAATAAACAATACATAAAATACTCAGATATTTCACAGAATCACAGAATGGTCTGGGTTGAAAGAGACCTTAAAAATCATTGAGTCCAACTCCCCTGCCATGGGTAGAGACACCTTTCACTAGGCCACGTTGTTCAAAGCCCCATTCAAGCTGACTTTGAACACTTCCAGGAGTGGAACATCCACAGCTTCCCTGGACAACCCGTTCTAGTGTCTCCACTCTCACTGTATAAAAGCCATAACTGGAGAGTGAAAACCTTCCTGTCCTTGTCTCAATTAATGAGTTCTTAGTTGGATTTTCTCCTCCCTATAACACAAGGGGGTGGGGGCTGAGTGAGCAGAGGCCTTGTTGTTAATGGCTGGGCCTAAACCACGACACTGAACTTCATGAGTTTTGCATGGGTCTACTCCTTGAGTGAGCCAAGGTCACTCTGGGTGGCATCTCTTCCCTCTACCACATCAATTGCACCACTCAGCTTGGTGTCATCAGCAGACTTGCTGAGGGTGCACTCAGTCCAGCTATGTTATTAATGAACATCTGAAATAACATTGGTCCCAATACAGAATCCTGAGAGGCTTGTTACTTGTTTCCATTTGGACATTAAACCATACCTCCTCAGGCATGGACACCTGGCATTTCCAGAACAACACATTTTTTCATACCCAAAACCTTTTTTCTTTGGCGACTAGCTGATAAATTTTGCTCAGATTCTCCAAATCATAGCAATGAGCAGGCTCAGGCTGTGGGAAACAACTAGCAAACCTAGGCTAAGTTGGAAGAAACTTCAGCATGGAGTGCACAAAGGGATTTCTTATTAGTGGAATATGGGTACATTTATATGGTGCTATTATTAAGGTTTTTGACACATAATTTATTTCCTGCTGATAGCCTTAGGTAGAAATGAAGTAGTAGTCTCTGTTATTTTTCTCCTGTGCAGTATAGTCTCTAGAGGATATAAATGCTTTAGTCTAACTAAAATATCTAGGCTGAAGCTATGGCCATCTGCATGAAATATAAATGCCTGAT